GAAATAGGGTGAATACATCTCATTACACTGATTTACTGGTAGTCTCGAAACCCTACTTTAATACGAATACTTTCGTTTTGTTACATCCCATACGTAGCAATGGCTCAACAGCCCTGGGCGCAGAGATCACGTGAGAACGTGACTTAATGTCGCGTCGACCAATCAAAGCTTGGCACCGCATCGTCCAATCAGAAGTCAACATTTAAAACAAAGCAAGGGTGTATCAAGCAGCTAACATCCTGTTTAGATTGGTCACGTTTTCTTCCTTCTCTTTCTCCCCTCCGCTATGAGCCGCGGAATTTAGACTTTTAATCGAAGGCATGAAGACCAAGATGATGTCGCCTTTCGAGTGGTCGCAGTCTCCTTTCGTTGTATAGAAGTTGTTTTACCTTTTACTCGATCATATTGGTAGGAAGACTTAGAGGAATGCACCTAGTCCGGAGTCCACTGCATGCATCATCATTTCTAGAGTAGGACCTTTAGACTTTTAAATTTCGCGCCGCCTTTCATTGATTTTCTTTCTATTCTCAGCCTCCATACTGTATTCAGCCCGTTTCAAAATAAGGCACATGATAATGCTATTTTTTACTTTTCTACCTTCGTTTCTGGGCCTCCAAATTTGCAGTTATTGAGTGCAAGCGTGTTATATTTTCGAGACAGTCCATATCCTTCTTTGGAATATTAAAGGACATTTATAGTGAGAAGATCGTAGCAAATGGCTTAAACTTTACCTTTCCATATGGTAAGAACTTCAAAGAGGAAATTTTGGTAGAATGTATAAGTTTAACGGATAGTTTCCCAGAGGATACTAGGAGTAACATTGAATTACAAGTTGTCCCTTTGATTGATGGCCATGTATAAGCACCATATAAAAATAGGACAGTTAGTACTATTATAAGGAAGCTTAAGGAGAAAGATCAACTAGTATCAATGACAGAATAAGGAGGAGCAGTAGTAGTCATGGCTAGGACTGATTATGTAGAGTAAATGTTAGAGGCATTAGATGATGATACAACATATAAGACCATAATTAGGGACCCGACATAATAATTTAAGGTCAGACTTAAGAGTCTTCCGCAACAATGTGTAAAGAGTGGAGAACTAGAAAAGGGGGAAAGGGGAAAAGGAACCCACTTCTCCAGCGAGATGCTCGACCTTCAAACGTTGTGGTCTGCCTAAAAATAATAAACAAGTTGCCCCATTTAGGATTACTGTAAATAATGGTGGCAACGTGATGCATAAAATATCTCGCTTTATACGTGCTCACTGAAAAAAAAACCCCGAAACTTGGAAGCTTTCAGTAAAGAGCTATTACGACTTTATTGAGTTAATTGATGATCAGACGATAGAAATAGGAGATTTGCTGGTAAGTTTCGATGAGGTGTCGATGTGCACTAGCATTTCGAATGAAGAACTTCGAATTAACTCCAGAGCAACACCCTGAAATTATAACAGGTAAAAAGTTAGGCAAGGATTCGATCACAAGATTAGTCAATTTGGCAAAGTATAATACATAGTTTGCCTCCATTGGTAAGTTGTATGAGCAAACACGGGACTTGGCTATGGAATCTTGTTTGGCCTTTTCTTTAGCCAATAACTGTATAGCCCTAGTGTCGAAAATTAGATTAATTTAAAATTAGGAAGCAGAAAAGAAGTGCTTACGACTTTCCGTTTGCTTAATCCTCCTAACAAATAGTCCCTATGCAACAAGCAATGACCTTCGCAACATTTAGATCGATTGCATTCCCATTAAATGGACATCTCTCAGTAAAAGTAGTGTTGAATTTCTTTATGTTTTTTAATGAGTTTATGGTTCAAGTAAGCTGGTCAGTTTTCTTTCAACTTGAGACTTTTGCAAGAATGAGTCAGAGCTCGGAAGATGTCCGTCATTGGACGAAAGAAGCTAATTCCGTTTTGTCCCTAAAATAAGGCGGATGTCTCGTGGACTGCGCCACCCTACAGGTCGTAATAAAGACAGACCGCTGCAGTACAACAAGAGTCGGCCGTAGTCTTCTGGTGAGATTGACTTATGAATCTTTTTATCATACACTGGAAGTCTTTTCAACAATGTTATCTTAAGAGATTCATCGAAAGCCAGTCACTTTGGTATCTATTCTGTATGAAAAATCAAATGACAACAAAGGGGCGGGCTAGATTTGCGAACTATTCTGCTGCTTAGAAGTTGTTTGACCTTGTTTTCAACTTGGTCATGTTGGCAGAAAAACCTAGAGGAATGCACCGTAGTCTATTGTATGCATGATCATTTCCAGAGTCTGACCGTGGACGTGGTACATTCCCGACTCTGGAAATTCTCATGCCTTATATGGACTCCGGACTAGGTGCGTTCCTCTAGGTCTTCCTATCAACATGACCAAGTTGCGAAAGTAAGGTCAAACAACTTCTATACAACGAATGTAGACAGCGACCATACAAAAGGCCACGCCATCTTTGTCTTCATACCTTCGATTATTCTACTGCTTGCTTATCTTCATTTTCCACTTCCCAATTTATGGTCCACCAATGACTTTCGCAGAATTTCAAATGCTTACAGCTCTGTTAAATATGCATTCAAAGTGACGATATTACTATGTTAAATGTAAGTATTTTCCAAAAATTTCTTTAGAACGTAAATAATAAGTGGTGCAAGGAATTATGTAGTATTACTTTATTTATCACTTTTAAATTACTTCTGCTTTAGATAAAAGAGCCTTATAGTAGAGGCCCATCTTTATTGACAATTAAATTAAACCCAAAAGTCGCATTAGTTTTGTGCACTGTTCAGCTGAACCCGGTTGCCCGATATGAGTTGACACTGATAGGCGTGTTTGGTCATTCACCGCATTCCAGGTCGAACTGATCGGTTTTGCTGGTGTAAAGGAGATGGAGGCGGAAAAAGAATCGAGCGAAGCGTCTGTCGCCTCTGTGGAAACGGACGAGCCATGCCTCGCCGCTGTGTCGAGCGCCGAGGTCGGTGAGATCGTACGTGTCTTCATCCTGCCGGCCTGGCGTAAACATGGTCTTGGCAGTCGGCTGATGGGACATCTTGAAGCGCATGCGCGCCAGCGGGCCGGCTACCGACGTCTCAAGCTGGAGACTTCACAGTTCCAGGACAAGGCGAGGCTAATGTACCACCGACTTGGCTACAGATTGTTAAACATACAAAAAATTACCACGAAGTGGTTATCACTCCCCTTCAATATTTATGCATTTGCCAAAGACATATGACGTCCCCCGCGAGACGGTCTAACAGTTTGTCAGAACACTTTCCTCAAGGTCCTTTTACAAGAAGCCTTTAAGGTTAACGCATAAGTCGAGACAAATAGATTTCAAAAGCTCAGTTTTTACCTCAACAACATAATCCTGTCGTTTATTTTCACCTTCGCCTTGTAAATAAAGTGATGCTTCAACAAATTTTTCGTTTTATTTGCTTTGAGGCGCAGAGATCACTTACGGCGTCTTTTCGCCACAACAGGCTGCTTCTAAAAGCACGATTAATATATGAAATTAAGGGGAACCGAATGCACTTTCAACTTCATCTCCTAGCACCATTTTCGAGCGGATTTGCATATGTGGACTATCCAAGATGAATTGAGGAGTTTACTCGATTATGAAGTGGGGTGAGACGTCACTATTTGTCCAAAAAGGTCGTTCCAATCTAGAAAGGACTGCAGTCTTGATTTTGTATCATCGACTTGTCTGCTCCACAGGCTGGACTCGAACCATGTATCTGTGGATTCAGAGTGAGACAAATGAGCCAGGCCGCTCCTTGCAACTTTGGTAGAGAAAATAGCCAACTCTGCCCGTAGTGTGAGTATTATTGCTTAAGCTGATGTGGCCGAGTATGAAAAGTGTCTTCTCCAAACCCCAACGGTTTGAATCCAGCCGAGGATGCCGATAAGAAAACGAAGCGAGATCAAAACTGTCGTATAGCCAGAAGGTTCATTTCAATCGAAGGTAGGAAGACCAAGTTGATGCGGCTTCTAGTATATTCGCTGCCTCCTATCGTTATAGAGAAGTTGTTCGATCTCGTTTTCGTAACTTGGTCTCCTTGTCAAAGTCCCAAGTCTTCTGTCATAGCAAACATGGTACCGTAGACTTGATACATTCCCAGACGTTTCACCGGCAGCGTCAGTGAGACCTGACATCTTTTGGCCTTAAACTGCAACTCATAAAATAGACAATTGGACTCTATAGCTTGATCAACTTTCTGCATAAAAGCGGGTTGACCTCGTTTTCGTGTTGTCAGGGCGACTAAGTCCGAAGCCTTCTGCTTCTCCAACATTTCTCCGGCATAGAAGCTTATGCACAAATATTGGCCAGTTTAGTTTGGTGCTAACATTTAAAGGCTCACTGATAGTCGCGAAAGGTCTGGGTAATGTACCAAGTCCACTGTCATACGCTGAAAATCATCATTACTACCATACCAGAGGACTACTGAGAAGATTGTTTTTGCAATACGAGTAAGT